GGATACTTATCGTGTCGGGATATTGTATATAGGGGCTGATGAGGCGCGCACCCAGGATCTTCATCGTGTTGGCTAATTACCTGTACCTAAAATTCCATTCTCAGTGAGAGAATAGAAAATGATTGGAGGAAGGGGGGAAAGATCGAAAGAATGGATTGAATTAAAAATTTTAATTGAATTTTCAAATTAGTAATTATTATTTAGAGAGTACGCTAAATTGTTTTTATGACTTTGAAAAGGAGTCAAATGACAATTTTTAGCGCATTTTCTCATTTATGGAAAAAATGCACTATTGTGCTTGCCATGTCCGTCTGTCTGTCCGTCCGTCTGTCTGTCCGTCCGTCTGTCTCTCTATCTGTCTGTCAGTCCATGACTTCACGTTTTCGTCGACGAGAAAAATGCGCTCTCTGTCACTCACTGCAGTGAGTACTGAGTTGCATTTTTTGCAGAATGTGGGTTCGAACGCGTATCTCTCCAATTCTCATGTATTTATATCATTTTTATCAACGGATTTAGGGATAACGGAATTATAAAATTGAAACTATTATATATTGATACCGAGCATTGCCGGGCAAGTTGCTAATAGTAATTATATAAAGGAAGTTAGTTTGTAAACACGTTATAATAACTGAAGGCAATCGTCAACAGCCTCATTGTATCTACAGCAGTTCACAACTGAATTATAGAAGATAATACATTCATCAACATCATTTTAGTAAATAAAGTCGGTTCCTTATTTCAATATGATAAATAAAATGCGTTTATCAGCAGCATTCAAGTAAATAAAAATATTTCTTAACTTAATTTTAGAAAATTAAGGAATATCTAAATAGCATTTTCGTGAAGAACGGCAGTTCTTAATCGCTTCATTGAAAATTAATGAGTTTATCAACATTACAGTATATGAAGTCAGTACCTAATTAAATGCACTGAAGACAATAGAGGCCTTTATCAAGTGCATTTCAGTGAATAGTTAACCAAGTCGGTTCTTGACAGCAATAAATAGTATATTGGCAGTTCTAAACTACACTTCAGAAAATGGAGGCAGTTAGTAACAGCATTAGACTAATCAATACATTCAATTTTTAAATGCAGTGAATTCAGTGGAGTTTCCACAGCATTTCAGTAAATCGAGCAATTCTTAACAGGCAACATTTCATCTTAACAACATTCTAATTCATACAGGCAGTTCTTAACTGTGTCGCAGGAAATCAACGGAACTTTTACGATCATCACCTTAAACTTAGAGAATGATAAAATTCTGCATTTATATAGAATATTGGCTACGCAGTTCTTGTCAGATTCATTGTACATAAGGACAGTTCATAAGCGCTTATATAGTAGTGCATCAATTTCCATTTCCGACGAACAATAAGACGGGTCAGTAACACTAGTAATGAATAAGTAGTGTTTTTATACATAGTACGAGTAGAGTGCATTGATACGCCTTTTTGCCGAGCCAAACTGTATTAGGCAGGCCCACTCAAAAGGAAGAAGTGTATCGCTATCTGGACTTAGTCTCACGCAGTTATCAGAATTAAGGAGGGAGATGTGCATGGGGTTGAGGAGACTCAACAAAAATTTTAGATGCCGGGAAAATGGTGGGAAGTTCAACCCATGATAGGATATGACAGGGTTCCTTCAGAAGAAAAGTTTATCATTATAATCATTATCAATTAAATTAATTAATTAATCATTAAAGGACGGCAATTAAAAAAACAAAAGAAGCCAAAAGCTTAGCTCAGGATAGCGTCAGCTCCACAGCACGGTGACCGGCCAGTAGGTCAAATGAACGGCTGGTATTTGTAATAATATAATCTCTGTTTAGTGAACAAAGTTTTCATATACCTTGTCAGAAATTCTAATCGGTTTGTACAACAGTAGATGATAAAAAAATCATGATCTGAAGCCATGGAATGGAAAAATGTTGCGCATATATTTGGTGCTTTGAGTTCGGAATTGTTAAACAATGCCTTTCGTGTAAACAATATAAAATGATATGGAAAGAAGTTAAATGTTGAAAGAAATTAGTCATTGTTTTGCCTTGGAATAACGGCTGCCGATGTATCAGAATAGTTTTATAAAATCCTTAAAGCATTGTCGTTTAGTGATGTTTGAACGCGTGTTCAACTATCATGTACTGAACTATCTATAGTCTTATACTTTATAATATTCCATTTGATGGATACCGATCCTCAGCAGTGTTTCAGGAACGAAATTCGTATGAAAATTGTTGAATTTTTAAAATTGGTGAATAATTACGATAAATGAAAACCACCGGCTATGCTAACGAAGCAGAATTGTAAGAAACAGCATCTAAAAAGATAATAAGCGCAAGAAAATTTGCCTGCAAGCGCCTGCAATCACCACGTCATCCTAAATTTCTTCTCATAATATTTCAAAGCAAAAGGTAGTAGCTGTCCATCTCCTAATCGGGGAATCCTTATTAAATTGCTGTGAGAGGCTGCTGAGTCTGGCCGAGTTGTGACTACGAACTGAAATGGATACTTGCAGAATTTGTAGATCATTTCTTCGACAACAACGCTGGACGTGGCGTTGGCTTCGTCGTAGCAACCGAAGAAGATCAGAGGATTCAGTTTCGTCAAAACATATTCAACGTTATGAGCTCCAATTTGTCTGCAAGACGCAGGAAAGTTTCGCTTGACAACGTCTAAAAAACTTGTGCTTTCTGTATCACAACACGCATAGTGGATGAAGATGTACGGAATTTCACTGTTAATTAATCTAAAATACTGTGATTTGATAAAATCCGTATCAGACCCAGCGCAAAAATTATCATTAATATCACAAGGCGTAAAACCCCATACACCCAAACTACAACGAACGACATTCCGTCCAGCAAATTCATTTTTTAGAGTGGCAAGTTCTGTCCGCTCCCAGTTCTCTTTCACTACGTAATACGCAGCAAAAGTGCCATCATCAGCGCGCACATCAGAGTATTTATCCCAGAGCGCCTGGCAAGCTTCCTTCACCCGCTCAGCCTCAGCGTCCGGCACGCGGTGCAGCTCAGCGGCCTCGCTGATCAGCTCGTATGCGATCTCAGTGATCCTGTCGGGCAGCCCCGCGAGTTTGGAAGGATCAGCGCACATTTTCGAGTGAACCTCAGCTCTGATCGTTTTAACTTCTTTTACGAGAGTGTTAGCGTTTTTGCAATCTCTCAATCCATCTTGAGTATCAACCAATCCACTAGATCTGATATCAAAAAGTTCGAAAATCAGCTGGATTAGAGGAAGAGAATCAAACGGACTGAAATCTACACTTTCGCATTCTCGTTTTTCCAGAGCCTCCCTCACAGACGACTTTCTGATTCTTAAAAACAACCATTTTTGTAAGCCCGGCAGGCACTTTGATAAAAAATACTCCACGTGCGTGTACTGTGAAGGCTTCTGGGCGCATATTTTCTCCATCACAAAGCGCAGCGCGTGCGGCAGCACAACGTTCAGGGCGTACAGACTCCTGTACACGGCGTCCAGGTCCCCGCATGACGAGGCCAGCGGACAGAGGTTCTCTCCACCGACGGCGGGGGTCTCAGAGAGCAAGGTAGGTGACCTGAAAGGTGGAGATGTAAAAACTTGCAATTTTATAAGGTGAATTTGAGAGTTGTCTCTTAAATCTATGATACATAATCCGAGGACTTGAAATAACTTATTACTCGACTTCACGCGAGTAAGCTCTTAACGATCAAATGGAAGTTTAGTCGTAATTTGAACATGGTACTGATGATACTTGCATAGATGGATGAGTTCATTTTCAACCACATCTGTTAGAAGTGAAAGCAGTCATTTTATTTGCAATAGAAAATTTTTAGGTCACTATTCAAGGTTCTAATATAGCAAATTACACATTTCGAAATGGATGCATCATATCAGTGAAGCGTGCAACAAAAGGTTCATGCAAAAATAAAGTTTGTTCTTAACTCAAATTTTTGCTAAATGATACTGATAATATATCAATCAATGATGTATAATCAATATATTATACATTATACAAGAGGTTCATTATACAATATATTATCTATCGTTAGTTGACTATAATGATATAATCAATAAAATAAATATCAATCAATTAATTGATATTGTAATTATAGATTAAATTGGATTATAATCAACAACAATAATATTAAGGTATCAAGTGATATTGATAATGTATATATAATCAAGCTTTCATTCACTATAATACAACTACGAGAAATGTGCTCCGGACTAGGGCGATACTAACCTTGTGGGTTCAGCCTGGGGAAGTAGCGGTGGTTCATCGGTGAGAATCAGCGTGAAGTTTTTCTCTCTGATCATGCGGGGAAAAATTGCACCAAGTTTACCAAAATGAATACAATGACAGTTGTTAGTCTGCCAAGGTGGAAAAATTAGCAAAACCTGCCTGTCCAATGAATGCCTAATTACCAACACCCAATAATCATATTTATTCCCATTATTATATTGAAAGCTTTTTGCGCGAGAAATAAGAAAAGGGGTTTAAAAATAAAAATGAGGTTTTGAAAATATTACCTTGCCTAAATTTAGAGGTGCATGCACCCTTCATTAAGGCCGCCTAGAATTCGAAGAGCACGTAAATCAGCTTCTCTATGTTCGCTTCGGCTCAAGGTTCGAAGAGCAGCCTGCTCACTCGATATGAATCGGCTCAGCCAACCCTTTTCATACTCTCAGGCGACTCTAAAGCCGGTTAGGACATTCTGACCAGAAACTGATTTCGATCGGGTGGCCAAGCAGACCCAGACAAACTACGCGCCGAATGTAGCGACTGTTAGGCCGAAGCCTAGGCGGTCTCAGAATTTTGTTAGGCTAAATTGAGATGCATTTGAGTCTGCATGTTCTGAACTTCACGAAGCCTGATTTACGTATAGTTAGTACCACTACGCCAGCCTAACTTTATAGGATTTCAGTGGAAATATTAAGTTCATTTACCGAATAGTCAGCACTCGACTGGGTCCTCCATGGATGAGCTGGTCGCCGAAGAGCGTCCTGAGGCCAGCACGCTGCAGCTCCGCCAGCGTCTCCAGCAGCTGCGCTTCAGTCAACGCGCAGTCACGCACCTCCAGCCACCTCAATCTTAACGTGGACGATAATTGCAATGAAGAATGTGGAAGATTGGATAAAATTTAAATGGCAGTTGTACAAGAATTTTGAAACATTTAGGGGGACGAGAAACATTGAGAAACAACTTTAGGGATGAGAAACATAGGATTTGAGTTTAAGATATCCCAGCAGACATCGGACGTTGAAACAACGTCAATTGCTTGTTGATTTCAGGTCGAAATGTTGATAAATCAAAATTAAACATAAAATTAACGTCGAAATGAGATCACCACTAGAAGAGATATGAAACCATTTTATTTCAACAGTGAAGCAACGCTGAATTTGGTACAGTGAATTTTTATTCATTTCCATAGTTATTCAACGATGTAATATGACCAAGAATGCAGGTTGCTAGGGAGCCCCTAAACGCTTAACTTGATCTAAAGCTTGAGTCCAGCGATTGATGAGAGCTTCAATCAACCTCAATCAGGCCTTCAATCTTTTGATCAGAACCTCCCTCTCATCAGAAATGAGATCATTTCGCACTTATTGTTCATTTCATAGTGGTTGTTGCTGCTTTGCTGATTGGTGGTGAGCAATGGTTGCGATAATGGATATATTCAATATTAATGATGTTTTGATGCATAAAAAGTTCAGAAGAAAGTTAGTCCAAATACCAGAAAAACAACTTATAACAATAAATATACCCGACTTTAAACAGATTTCCGTAAGTTATATTGTACTCTAACCTGAATGGCAATAATTTTAGAGAATTATTTCATAGATCTATGAATAAATAAAAGCTCAAATCTTTCAAGTTTTGAAAATTTATCACCAATTAGTCTAAAATCTGAAAATCAAATTCATTTATGTGTCATCATGCAACAATCATCATCACCATGGGCATGGCGAATACATAATAACCACTTCACTGGAGCTCTAAACGCAGGAAACAATATTAAATAATATTTGTCTGTAGGCATATAAAGCATCCCAGTCTCTGCTCAGACGCATAGAAGGGAAAAGTGTAAACGGTTCAATCTAACCGCAAAACGTATAGTCTCAAGCTGTTATTATTCGGGCAGCATCTACCCTAACAAAATTTAGAGTCGCGGCAGCTTCTGATTTGGGTTACCAGAAGCTGGGGCGACTCTAAATTTTGTTAGGGTAGGCGATGTTTAAAGTAAATTAGTGCATTCACATCAGAGACCTAGCCTTTTCACCGCCACTCGATCTCCAGTGTTTCTTTCAAGTTGCACTATGTTTCCGCATGAGAATAAAATCGAATAAAATAAAAAAGAACAAAGAATGCCATTGTGCATTATTTTTTTGTCTCCACTGCAAATATTTTTGGCAAGCTTAAATTGTCTTTTCCAAAGCACCTTTTTATGTCAGGTGGAGAATATTTCAGGAAAATGAAGTCAGAGGTCGAGACTATGAGCAGCACATAGTCAACATTCCACAAATCGTGCAATGCATGGAAATTTCTAAATAAATAGAATAGAAGTGTTGGCACTGAAGACATAGGCCCATGGCCTGTTGCCGATTCTTGAAATTTTCGTGACTTGATTCACAAGGTATCCGGCCGTTGGAAGCCGATCTTGCCATAACTCTGACGATTGATTGATAAAATGATAATTATTTGTATAACAGCACCTGTTATCAGCAGGCGCCAGCCCAAGTATGGTGCGAGTCAAACTCTCCTGCTGGTTTTCAGCGACAGGCTTCACCCGCAGACAGATATTCTCAGACACAGGCAGCGCAACAAAGCTTTCCTTGGATGTAGGTTCAACAATCACCCCTGAAAAGCAACAAAGAATGCAAATAATACGGAGAAATTTATTCTTTAAGTGGCACTGACCATCATCAGTGACAGATTACTTGAAGCCGTGTGAGCAAATTAACGCCAGAACAGAAAAATTCTTGCACGCCACATTTAACGTCAAGGAACTAAGCTCAAATTTTCTCCAACCAAGCACAATGAAAATTCTGCTAGTGTATTTCAACCAATCTATTTCATTTAGCCATTAAATTTACCAAAACAGTTCATTCATAGTAGACGAAATGGTAGTTTTCAAATTTTCCACAGTTTTTTTTAAGAACACATTTGAATATACATTGCTTCAAAACACGAAAACCGTTCTATACTAATCAATTCTTCAATATTCAAACTGATAACGATAAGTAATGAATACCACGGTATGTGTAAACGAAAAAATCTTCCATGAGAACTATAACTGGTGTAAATGCAATTTATTTTCTGAAATTGCCCACTCACACAGCTCTCGGTGCTTGTGTTATAGTGGCGTCAAGTCCAAGTGAGGCTCAATGTAAATGATGAACTCTGTCCCCGGCCTCGCAACTTTGGCCAGATATTGGATGCTGTCTGCATTCCTGACACGACCCGTGAATATTGACAACGAGCAGCTGCATAAAAAGAAATACATTGGTGGGATCATAACATAGGAAATATATTCATCTCTTTGATTTTTGAAACATAATCGTCGTAACAAGGTGATTCATAATTGTTCATAAAGTATACCCATTGAAATTAGTCCGGGATTGCCAAAAATCGCATGACGTCTTCACGAAATCTCATTTAAATTAGTTTGGGCTCAAGGACCTTGAGGCGGCCAATGCTTCAACCGCGTCGTCGCATGGTCACAAAGCATTTTGTTCGCTGAAGAGTCGCAGGTCAAGAATTCCTCTGAATTTACTGGCCACTTGACGCCACGACTTGGGAACTGGGTCGTTCAGGAGGCTGACATCTAGCCATTCGGGCTGTTGGTGGGGCATCAGCAGCGCCAAGGTGTCTGCATCGCGGTCTAGGGGATGAGTGGGGAAATTGATTTGACTGCAATTTAACAATCAAATAATAATCTATTAACAGTAGAAAAAGAGTTATTATATGGCCGGCTTCACTCTATACTGCTGGGCATGTACCAGTCATGGTCCAGTCCAATATTCTTTAATGCATTTCCATAGAAGCACACACATCATGGGCATGACAGGTGCATCGCACGGCTGGTGTGAATGCTTCTATAGAAATGCTAATGCATTAAAGAATATTAGACTGGGCCTTAGAATATTGGGCTGGAGACTTCTTACTGGCATCGTTGACGCTGCTAGTGTGAACGTGTTCAAGAACAGAATGAAAAAAGCTGTACAGAGGTAAATAATTCGCTTCGGAGTGCCTCCTAGCTCACAAATTGGTGGATGTTGAGTAGCTACGATGCTGCACCGTCAGTTTCGGATGAATCTGATCAAAAGGTCAGTCCTCACATCCCCAAGAGACAATCCAAGAACATTACAGGAATCGGCGATAGGCCAAATTTGACCAATTCTTCGACACCGATAATACTATGCTATACTAAATTTATTCATCTACTTAATATGATGTCCTTATATACATTGGTGCATGTGTGATAGTACTTTAAATAAAATAGATGATTTTAATTACTGAGTACAATTTTGGCGGTAAGATGATAGTAAAAGTAGTTACCTCGTAAACCCGCTTCTCTACCTTGCTACAGCCAATGAGGTTAGGCTAGATCCGGAGAGGTGTGTTCGGGTGGATAGTCGAGGTAAGTGTAATGGTAGGTGCATGCTGGAGTGTAGCCTCCGTGATGACTATTATGACTGGAGTAGTGATTGCTTGCTTACGGCGCCTATGGCTTTTAACACTTGTCAGCATAGGCTACTTTACTCGTTATCACGCTTGCGCACGGGAAGAATATGAAAGTGATGACGGCATTGAGCAATGCTGCTAACATGCACCCCGGATAATACTATTACCAGATGTGATGCTCCAGATGCTCCAGGCGGTGTTTTGGGCCAGGTAAACTCTGGCAGTCTCAGCAGCAACTTGCTGAGAGTGCGGGCAACTGAGCAGGACTTGCTGCCAGAACTTCTTGTCAGCTCCAGCCGCTGAGGCTACGTCCCTCAGCAGTGGCCAGTTACGTTCGAAGACGTCGGAGTTCTTGTCAGCACCCAGCTCCATCAAGACATGGGTCAGCACTCCTTGGAAACTGTTGCGAGAACTGGGTAGTAGTCTATTGTTTGTTAGCTTATTTTCTTTTGAGCTCATGTCACCCTGTTTAGAGCATTCATCTAATATTTTATCTCGAACTTTTCGCTGAATCAATTTGTTCATGATCATTTATGGTTCTGCAATCGTCAAAAATTCGCTCACAAACATTGAAAGTCACACAATTAAAACGTATAATTTTATAATAACACATTATGTATTTACACAGTACCAATCAGTTGCTGCTATAATAATAATAATAACGGTGTCAGCATAGAAAATTAGACAAATTACCCAGGTATCTAAGTAATCTTGGAATCAAGGTTTTTGACATTCATTAACAAAATACAATATGCATTGAGGCACTGAAGGCTAAAATTGCCTCATGGTAATATTTGCAACCTAAAACCAGGAACAAAAACCCGAGAATAAAACGTACCAGTAAAGCCAGGGTAAACTGCATGCTGAGTGAGTAATAACTGAATATGCGGCCCCAGACGAAGCAATTGATTAACCAGCTCTTTATTAAACACTACGGTATGTACCAAGCGAAGACTGATAATTATGCTAGTTGGTTTATAACCAAAATTTTATATACGCCCAGGGAGAATTCTTAGATTATTTTCATCGAATTACTAGTATTCACTGTCATTAAGCATTCAACTCACTTCTTGATGGCAGGACATTGGGTCTGCAGGAACGGTGGCAGGCAGTTGCGCTTTCGGACTTCCTCAGAAACAGGCTTCGAGGCAAAAAATTCTTGAATGCTTTTGTGATGGAAAAAGTATGTGCAAGAATCAAAATTTCTCAAACTCTGTTTTATTTGCATAACAACACTCAGAAGAGCATTAGGGTCAAGCTGCCGAAGTGCTCCATAACGTTCCAGTCTTTCCCTGAAACTTTTTTTCAAATCAGCAACTTGATTTTCTGAGAAATTCAAATGGTTTTCAGAAATGCTCCGCAATGAGAAGTCACATACATCTCTGAAGGAGTCATCAATTAGACCTTCTTTGCCAACAATGCGATAAGATGCCAGCTTTGACTCAATCATTCTTTTGTACAGAAGATAGATGTCTTGAGCAACTTCAGCATGTGACCTCCATTTATTGATCTTGTCAGGAAGATTCCAGACCAAGTGACAGAAGAGAATCAGGTAAATGGGATGAACGAAAAGTTCTTGGATGTTCCGTTCAAGAGAGCAGAACCTCTTTACAACTTCTCCTGCATGTGGAGTGACATGCTTTTCATACTTCTCTAGAAATCTCTTTTGGTCATCAATGTGAGAAATTTCAGATATCACATATTCCTGGAACTCGATGCCTTCTTCATTCAGATAGTCTTTAAGCTCACGAGCACCACTTGGCCTGGTGGTGATGATCACACGACACTCATGGTTCCTCATTTTGTTCACCATCTGTTGAACAACATTATAAGAGTCTTCATGACATTCATCATAGCCATCAACAAGAATCACAGTTTTCAACTCGGCGATTCCACGAATAACAGCCTGATGCCCGAGTTTTTCACACACCTTCTCAAAATTCCGTTCTACTAGACAACTGAGTTCTTTTATGGACCTGTTCCTGCACTCATAATTAAGTACCAATTCAAAATTTTTCAAATCAATCATTTCAACTTTGGAATTTGAGATGCCATGAAACTGTATCACCAGATTTTTGATGAGAGTAGATTTTCCAGACCCGGACGCACCAATGACTATGATGAACTGTTTATTGGTGTTAGAGAGGAGCTGTATGTATGAGATCACGTCTTCAGGTCGTGCATTTGGCTTCTGCACTGTCAATTCCATGGAATAGAAAACTTCCGAACGTTCAACTTGGTCATTATTAAAGAGCAGAGTTTCTTTGGATAACATTTTTTCCCACATGATTTTTGCTTCTCTTTTCCCATAAGTCTGCAGGATGAAGCGACAATAAGCCTCAGCTTTTTCATTATCTGTGCGTACTTCATCCCACATGCCATCTACATGGGTTTTGAAACTCGTTACTTCAACAGCAGGGATGCTGTACACGTTGCCAGCTTCATCTATCACATCATGCAGGGCTTTGACAATTTCGTCAAATTTCATAGGGTTGACAGCATCGCCAGCAACTTCATGCATAACAGCATTTCTTATGTTTTTGGCCTCCTTCAGGAGGCACTCTAGTTGACTGAGACTTCTCACATGGCCAACGTGTGTGTATAATACTTTTGATTTGAATATCTCATCCAAAAAAGAAAACATTAGAGTTACGTCATATTTGGATGGTTCTTCTTTAAGCATTTTCATTGTACTTTTGGGTAGTCCAATTTTAGGGACTTTAAATTTATTATCCTTTTGAGCCAGCAGGGCAGCGTAGCGGTCTTCATATTGCTGCTTCTTTTGTTCAAAGTAATCAGCATATGTTTGCCATTGCTGCTTGTCGCTGCATTCCCAATTTAGAATGGCTCGAAAAACTTCACACATAGGAATTTGGACGGCAAAAATGTTCTTGTATCTGTTGGCTTCCTGAGGTGAAAGTTCAATTCCCGGGACTATCGAGATGGTCTGTGCGAGGGCAGCCATTTCAGCAGGCTGGTGTTGAACGCTCATCTATCTGAAAACGATGAGGAAAAAAATAGTAACATTCTTATGGTACATTTTTAATAATCTTTATTTTATTGTTCTGCAAGGGTTGAACATTTTTAGTTTGACTAGTATTGCGAAAAATAAAGAAAATCAATAGGCGCATAGGATGTGTATTAAATCATCTCGCATCTAGTACTATAGTCCCCCTTGATGTTTGGCTCCTCAAAGTAGCATGCAGTAAGTATTGCCTACAGTCACAAGAGGTTCTAAAAATTCAATAAAAACGTGAAACTACTTTGAAGAATTTACATATAACGCATAGCAGCATACCCACCTTTTAACTGACCAACGTACTTAACCAACGTACTTGACCTACGTACTTGATCAATGAACATCCAGTCGAATTTTGGATTCCATTTTAGGTCGCACAGTGGTCTAAAGAATCGCCTTTGAGGTAAATCAAGCGTCAGTCGGCCATCTGCCGTATTCCGCTGCTATTTAGAAGCTTTTTTTGGAATCCACGATCCGAAGGGCCGAATCTGCTTATTATAACCGAAAAGAGCAGCTGGTCAAGCTTCCTCACGATGTCTGTCGTCAGATGCTGGTATTAGTGCGAACTATGACCATCTCCCGCTCATAGAATGGCGCCGATGTAAGTGCACGCGCACGCTTGTTAAGTCATACGATGCGATACTTTCATTCGATGTGGAAAATTTGTTCACTAATATTCCTCT